TATGCATTATCTCCCCCAAGACATTGCAGTTTCTTGTAAGCAGGGATGCCCTAAACACGAGTTTGGGTGATGGCAAAACAAAATTGAGAAGAGAGACTCAGATTGAGAAACTTATTACACAAAATAGGGTAGGATAAGTAATAGGAGGCTGACCCAGCTATACTCTGAATGTGTCAGCAGAGCTTGGTAACCATGCAGGACAGAGGTAGCAGCAGTCCAGTCAGGCAGGCAGTGTAACAGGGGGTTAAAAAGTCAGGCAGGGAGAACATGGTGACGAGCCTTCCAGATAAAGGTAATATGAATAGGTGGTCAGCACCAGAGGATAAGAATGGCTCCAGCAGGGCCTGGGCTTTATGAACAGGACGCCAGGTATCACGTTATAGGAAGGGGATCTGCCGGTGACAGATGCAGGCTCCAGAAGCATCAGAGTCCTGGAAAAGAAATAAAGACAGGAGAAAACAAGACAGAAACTCTAGAAGTTATTGAAGCTCAGAAATTTGGAGAAGTTGGACGAGGTCAAGGAGAATATGCCACATCAGCAGTCAGAATGATAGTCTTGAGCCCCTATGCCAGATATAGAGCAAAGTGCCTCCCATGTTAGTGTTAGTACCCAGATTGTCTCAGGGAGCCATTGATGAGGTTTACAGAATTTAAGCCATAGTACCCAGCTTGTCTCAGGGAGCCATTTATGAGGTTTATAGAAATTAAGCCAGTCCCTGAAATGACTGTAGATTACATATTTTTAAATTCCACCATGGGTTTACATCTAGAGCTCTGCATGTAGAAGACACTTGATTACAATCACATAGAACTAAGTGTATTATATGTGCTAGACACTAGTCTAAGTGCTTGACATAAGTTATGTCATTTAACCACATCCTAGGATTGTATATACAATTATGCGCCAAATAACATTTTGGTCGACAATAGACCATATGTGACAGTGGTCCTAAAAGACCATAACATCACATTTTTACTGTACCTTTTCTATGTCTAGCTATGTGTAGATACACATATACTTACCATTGTGTTATAATTGCTTACAGTATTCAGTACAGTAACCTGCTATACTGGTTTATAGCTTAGGAGCAATAGGTTATACTATATAGCCTGAGTATGTAGTAGGCTACACTATCTAGGTTTGTGTAAGTACACTCTATAACGTTTGTACAAAATTACCTAATGACACATTTCTAGAAATGTATCCCTGCCATTAAGCAATTAATTATTGTACTATTATTCTTATTTAATAGAAAGAAAGCCAAGGCCCAAGCAGATGAAATAAATTGCCCAAGAGCTGGAAGCACTCCCCTTGAAAACCAGCACAAGACAAAGATGTCCTCTCTCACCACACCTGTACAATGTAGTATTGGAAGTTCTGGCCAGGGCAATCAGGCAAGAGAAAGAAATAAAGGTATTTGAATAGGAAGAGAAGAAGTAAAACTATCTTTGTTTGAAGATGACATGATCCCATCTTCTCAGCCCAAAAGCTTCTTAAGCCAATAAGCAACTTCAGCAAAGTCTCAGGATACAAAATCAGCATGCGAAAATGGCTAGCATTCCTATACACCAACAACAGGCAAACTGAGAGCCAAATCATGAATGAACTCCCGTTCACAATTGCCACAAAAAGAATATAATACCTATGAATACAGTTAACAAGGAAAGTGAAGGACCTCTTCAAGAGGAACTACAAACCACTGCTCAAAGAAGTCAGAGAGGACACGAACAAATGGAAAAACATTCCATGCTCATGGATCAGAAGAATCAATATTGTGACAATGGCCATATTGCCCAAAGTAATTTGTAGATTCAATGCTGTTTTCATTAAACTACCATTGACATTCTTCACAGAATTAGAAAAAACTATTTTAATATTCATATAGAACCAAAAATAAAAAGCCCAGAGAGCCAAGACAATCCTAAGCAAAAAGAACAAAGCTGGAGGCATCACGCTATCTGATTTCAAACTATACTACAAGGCTACAGTAATCAAAACAGCATGGTACTGGTTCAAGAATAGACACATAGACCAACGGAACAGAATAGAGAACCCAGAAATAAGACCACACACCTACAACCATCTGATTCTGACAACCTGACAAAAACAAACAATAGGGAAAGAATTCTCTATTTAATAAATGGTGCTGGGAGAACTGGCTGGCCACATGAAGAAAATTGAAATTGGACTACTTCCTTATGCCACATACAAAAATCAACTCAAGATGGATTAAAGACTTAAACATAAAACTGGAAACTATAAAAGCTGTGGAAGAAAATCTAGGCAATACCATTCAGGACATTGGCATGGGCAAAGACTTCATGACGAAAACATCAAAAGCAATTCCAATAAAAGCAAAAATTGACAAATGGGATCTAATTAAAGAACTTCTGCACAGAAAAAAAAACAAAAAAAAAAAAAAAAAAAAACAAAAAAAAAAAAAACAAAAAAAAAAAACCTATCATCAGAGTGAACTGTCAACCTACAGAATGGGAAAAAAGTTTTGCAATCTATCCATCTGACAAAGGTCTAATATCCAGCATCTACAAGGAAAAAAAATAAATAATGCCATTAAAAAGTGGGCAAAGGACATGAACAGACACTTCTCAAAAGAGGACATACATGCAGCAAATAAACATACGAAAAAAAGCTCAAAAGCACTGATCATTAGAGAAATGCAAATCAAAACTACAATGAAATACCATTTCATGCCAGTCAGAATGGCTATTACTACCAAGTCAAAAAACAAAACAAAACAAAACAAAAAAAACAGATGCTGGCAAGGTTACAGAGAAAAAATAATGCTTTTGCACTTTTGGTGGGAATGCAAATTAGTTCAACCATTATTGAAGACAGTGTGGTGATTCCTCAAAGACAGAGAGGCAGAAATACCATTTGACCCAGCACTCTCATTACTGGGTATATACTGAAAGAAATATAAATCATTCTATTATAGAGATACATGTAGCACTATTCACAATAGCAAAAAGATGGAATCAAACTAAACACCCATCAGTGATAGACTGGATAAAGAAAATGTGGTACATATACACCGTGGAATACTATGTAACCATAAGAAGGAATGAGACCATGTCCTTCGAAGGGACATGGATGAAGCTGGAAGCCATTAACCTCAGCAAACTAACACAGGACAGAAAATCAAATACTGCATGTTCTCACTTATAAGTGGGAGCTGAACTATGAGAACACACGGAAATGTGAGAGGGAATAACACACACTGGGGGCCTGTCAGAGTGTGGGTGGGGAGGAGAGAGAGCATTAGGAAGAATAGCTAATGCTGGGCTGAATATCTAGGTGATGGAATGAACTGTGCAGAAAACCACCATGGCACACATAATCTATGTAACAAATCTGCACATCCTGCACATGTACCCCTGAACTTAAAATTAAAAATAAATGAATAAATTGCCCAAAGTAATGCATTGTGCAAATAGTGAAGCTGGAATACAGATTCAAACAGCTTGTCAGTAAAACCCAGTCTTAAAACTATATTGCCAATCTTGGTCATACAATTTTATACAAAAAAAAATTTGCTGAAGTCTTATGTGGCAGACTCTGTGCTAGCTATTAGTGTCTCAACAACAAAAAATATATATAGGTAACATCTATGCCTGTAAGGAGCTTAAAGTATAATGCATATACGATGCATTAAAGGTAGAAATACTTACTACAGCACTCTGATAGGAGGCTAGAGGGTGCTATGAGAGCACTTAGCACAGGAACCAAATACTCCCCAAAGGTGAGGCCGCTTAGGTGAAGTGATGAATGATTAGAGGTCATAAAAGCAAAGGATGGAGAGGAAGGGGAAAGAACAACTTGTTCAAAGCTCCAAAGGCAAAAAGGAGCATAATTCTTTCAAGTTACTGAAGGTCACTCTGCATGACAGAAGTTAAGAGTATATAAAATGATAAGAGAAATCAAACAAGAGATGTCACTAGAGAAGTGGACAGAGGCCCGATTATGATTATGCAGGGCCAAGGAGGTGACATTCAGGAGTCTGGACTTCACGTTGAGGGAAAAACTAGTAAAGGATTTAAAGAAGGCAGTAATGTGACCAGATGTGTATTTTGGAAAAATTACTTTGACTTCTGTGTGGAAAGAATGAATAGATGGAAGAGTGAATAGATGGAGGGATGGACTGATGGATAGAAAACCAATTCTTGTTCTTCCTACTTCATGAAACAGATTTAAGTAGGTTTCATTGTTCCTACAGCCCATCTGCCTCTCAGTCTTCTGATAGAAACTAGAGCCCAGAAGATATCACCAGAGGCCAAGTCTACCAGCAGGAAAATGATCTTATAAAAAAAGAATGGTTTTCACTTAACGGTGGGTTATTTCCATGCTCTGTATGGACTCTTATGCTCCCATCCCAGCAAGGAACTTGCTATAGTTCCAACAAGTCTTCTACAACCAACCACTGCTATTGCAGTAACTGTAAACATATGTTTTCTGCTTTTCCCACATGTACCACAACCTGTACCACAGGTTGAAGCTCAATGCAGAGAAAAAGGGGCACAGAGGAAGTCTGGAATGTCTGGTGTCATAACGGCCATGCAAAAGGTCTTGGCCTTATGTGATAAATTATACTTTCCACATCTGTTGGTGGGAGAATTAAAAGAGGGCACATCTCTTCTGTGTGTGGCCTAATGGTTCTCTTCCAACACTAAACAAGTCCATTTAAAGCACAGGCTGGCAGGGGTCACCTTCACCATGACACATGTTTTAACAATCCAGGTGCTCATAGAACATAAAAGTTCTGTAACTGTAAAGAACCAAACAGCTTTGAAGAGCCTATGCTAATGCTTTTCTGAAGGGATTATGTGTAGACAACTCTAATTGTTGCATTGAACCTATGCCCCTCTTTGCTTCCCTCCTACCTGTCTTTGTCATATGTACATGCCTTCTCTACCCTTTTACCTCAGGTTGTCCTCCACGCAGAAAACTAAGTGGGAGAGAGTGGCCTATAATACTGACTCACCTTAAGCACCAGCAGACAAAGCAAAAGGTGATTATTTTAGATCTCTTTCACAAGAAAATGTGCAGCCTAGAAACAGAAAGGGCAAAAGATCAGAAAAAAGAAAACAAGAAACATGCTAGACATTTTTACTTTTCTATAAGATGAAGTTAAGACATTTTTACTTATTAGCAAGACTAGTTTAAGAAAATTCTTCAGTCATTACGTCTATAAAAATGATGCAATATTAACATCATACCAAAATGACAGATGCAGATGTCAGTAGGGAGAACATATTAAACAGTATAAAGGGCTCTAAAAATGCAAAGCATTATGGCTAGGTTTTGTGGGGTTTTTTTTTTGTTTATTTCTTTGGGTTTCCATAAAAAATATTTTATGAGTACATAGTAGGAGTATATGTTTATGGGGTATATGGGATATTTTGATATAAGCATGCAATGTGTAATAATCACATCAGGGTACATGAAGTATCAATCACTTCGCACATTTATCTTTTGTGTTACAAGCAATCCAATTACACTTTTAGTTATATTAAAATGTACAGTTAAATTACTGACTACAGTCATCCTGTTGTGCTATCAAATACTAGATCTTACTCATTCTTTCTATTTTTTTGGCCTCTTTATCCCCACTACTCTCCATTCCCCTGGTACCCTTCCCAGCCTTTGGTAATCATCCTTCTACTCTCTATCTCCATGAGTTCAACTGTTTTAATTCCTAGGTCCCCAAAATAAGTGAGAACATGTGAAGTTTGTCTTTCCGTTCTTGGATTATATCACTTAACATAATAACCTCCAGTTTTATCCATGTTGTTGCAAATGACAGGGTCTCATTAGTTTTTATGGTTGAATAATACTCCATTGTGTAAATATACTGTATTTTCTTTATTCATTTGTCTGTTGAGGGACACTTAGGTTGTTTCCAAATCTTGGCTATTGTGAGTAGTGCTGCAGTAACCTTGGGGGTGCAGGTATCTCTTCATTCAATACATTGATTTTCTTTGTCTTGGGGGGCGGGTATCTACCTAGCAGTGGGGTTGATGGATCATATGATAGCTCTGTTTTTAGTTCTTTGAGGAACTTCCAAAATGATCTCCATAGTGGTTGTACTAATTCACATTTCAACAACAGTGTATGAGGGTTCTCTTTTCTCTTCATCCTTGAAAGCATTTGTTATTGATTGTGTTTTGGATAAAAGTTATTTTAACTGAGATGAATTGAGATGCCATTATCATTTTGATTTGCGTTTCTCTGATAAGTGATGCTGAACATTTTTATATGCCTCTTTGCCATTTATACGTCTTCTTTTAAGAAATGTTTATTCATATCTTCTGCTCATTTTAAAAATTGGATTATTGTTTTTTTCCTATAGAGTTTGCTTGAGCTCCTTATATACTCCATTTATTAACCCCTTGTTAGATGGGTAGCTGCAAACATTTTCTCTCATTCTGTGGGCTGTTTTCTTTACTTGGTTGATTGTTTCCTTTGCTATGAAGAAACATTTTAGCTTGATATGATCCCATTTGTCCGTTTTTGCTTTGGTTGCCTGTGCTGGTGGGATATTACTCAAGAAATCCTCACCTAGTCAATGTTCCGAAGAGTTTCTCCAATATTTTCTATTAGCACTTTCATAGCTTGTGGTCTTAGATTTAAGTTTTTAATCCATTTTGATTTTATTTTTGTATATGGCAAGGGATAGAGGTTTAATTTGATTCTTCTGCATATAAATATCCAGTTTTCACAGCATCGTGTATCACACAGACTGTCCCTTCCCCAATGTTTGTTCTTGGCACCTTTGTGGAAAATGAGTTCACTGTAGATGTATGTATGACTTTGTTTCTGAGTTCTCTATTCTGTTAATTTCATTGGTCTATGTGTCTGTGTTTATGCCAGTACCATGCTCTTTCTGTTACTATAGCTCTGTAGTGTAATTTGAAGTGAAGCAACATAACTCCCCCAGTATTGTTCTTTTTGCTCAGGATAGTTTTGAATATCTGGGTCTTTTGTAGTTCCACATAAATTTTAGAATTTTTTTTTTCTATTTCTGTGAAGAATGTCATTGATATTGTGATAGAGATTGTAGTAAATCTATATATTGCTTTGGGTAGTATGGATATTTTAATAATATTAATTCTTCCAAACCATAAACATGTAATACCTTCCATTTTTTGTATCCCCTTCCATTTCTTTTATCAATGTTTTACAGTTTTCATTGTATAAATATTTCACTTCTTTTGTTAAATGAATTCCTAGTTATTTAATTTTATATACAGCTATTATAAATGGAATTACTTTCCTGATTTCTTTTCAGATTGTTTGTTGTTGGCATATAAAAATGCTACTGATTTTTGTATGCTGATTTTGTATCCTGCAACTTTACTGAATGTGTTTATTAGTAATAGTAGTTTTTTGGTTGGGTCCATAGGGTATTCCAAATATAAGATCATATCATAAGCGATAAAGGATAACTGGACTTCTTCCTTTCCAATTTGGAGGCCTTTATTTATTTCTCTTGTCTGATTGGCCTAGCTAGGACTTCCAGTACCATGTTGAATAATAGTAGTGAAAGTGGGCATCCTTGTCATGTTCAACATCTTAAAGGAAAGGGTTTCTGTTTTTTTCCCATTTGTTATGATACTAGTTGTGAGTCTGTCATATATGGTTTTTATTATGTCTATGCCATTTTTTAGGGTTTTATCATGAAGATGTGGAATTTTTTTCAAATGCTTTGTCAGCATCAATTGAAATGATCATATGGTTTTCATCCTCCATTCTGTTGATATGCCATATGACACTGATACATTTGCATATGTTGAATGATTTTTGCATCCCTGGGATAAATCCCACTTGGTCATGATGAATGATCTTTTTAATGTGTTGCTGAATTCAGTTTGTTTGTATATTGTTGATGATTTTTGTATTAATATGCATCAGAGATATTGACCTGTAGTTTTCTTTTTTTGGTGTCTCTTTGGTTTTGGTAGCAGGGTAATATTGGCCTCACAGAATGAATTTGGAAGTACTACTTCCACCTCTATTTTTCATAATAGTTTGAATAGGATTGGTATTGGTTCTTTAAATGTTCAGTAAAATTCAACAGTGAAGACACCAAGACCGAGGGTTTTTTCTGCTGGGAGATGTGTTTTATTATAGTCTTGATCTTATTACTTGCTATTGCTCTGTTCCGGTGTTGAATTTCTTCACGGTTCAATCTTGGTAGGCTGTGTGTACCTAGAAACTTATTCATTTCTTCTAGGTTTTCCAATTTATTCACATATAGTTGCTTAAGTAGTCTCTAATTTGACCACTAATTTGAGTTTCTGCAGCATAGGTTGAATGTCTCCTTTTTCATCTCTAATTTTTTTGGGGTCGTCTCTCTTTGTTTCTTAGCTAATCTGGCTAAAAGATTGTCAATTTTGTTAATCTTTTTCAAAAAACCCAACTTTTAGTTTCATTTATCTTTTCTATTGTTTTTCATTTCAATTTAATTTATTTCTGCTCTGATCTTTGTTATTTCTTCTACTAACTTTGGATTTGGTTTGCTCTTGCTTTTCTAGTTCTTTAGGATGCATTGCTGTGTTGTGTATTTGAAGTTTTTCTTCTTTTTTGATATAGGCACTTACAGCTATAAACTTCACTGTTAGTACTGCTTTTGCTGTATCCCATAGCTTTCGGAATGTTGTGTTTCCATTACAATTTGCTTCAAAAAATTTTTCAGTTTTCTTATTAATCTCTTCGTTGATCTACTGGTTATTCAGGAGTACATCATTTAATGTCCATTTATTTGTATAATTTCCAAAAGTCATCAATATTGATTTCTAGTTTTATTTCATTGTGGTCAGAGAAGATGAGAAGATACTTAATATTATTTTAATATTGTTGAATGTTTTAAGACTTGTTTTGTAGACTAACATATGGTCCATCCTTGAGAATGTTCCATTTGTTAAGGGAAAGAATGCGTATTCTGTAGTCATTGGATAAAATATTCTGTAAATAACTATTAGATCATTTGATCTACAGTGCAGATTAAGTCCAATGTTGCTCTGTTGATTTTCTGTTTGGAAGATCTGTCCAGTGCTGAAAGTAGGGTGATGAATTGTGTAGTTATTACTGTATTGGGGGTAATCTCTCTCTTTAGCTCTAATGGTACTTGTTTTATATATCTGGGTGTTCCAGTGTTGGTGTGTATATATTTTCACTTTCTTGTACTTGAATATTGATATATTTCTCTAGGTTTGGAAAGGTCTCCGTTAGTATCTCTTTAAATAAACTTTCTACCTTTGTCTCTTTCTCTATCTTTTCTTTAAGGCCAATAACTCTTAGATTTATCCATTTTATGCTATATTTTCTAGATCTTGTAGACGGGCTTCATTCTCTTTTATTCTTTTTTCCTTGTCTCTTATGTGTATTTTTGAATAGCCTGTCTTCATGCTCACTAATTCTCTCTTCTGTTTGATCAATTCTATTAAGAGACTTTGATACATTCTTCAGTATGCCAATTGCATTTTAAATTCCAGAATTTCTGCTTGATTCTTTTTAATTATTTCAATTTATTTGTTAAATTTGTCTGATAATATTCTGAATTCCTTCTCTGTGTTATCTGGGGTTTCTTTGAGTTTCCTCAACATAGTGATTTTGAATTCTCTGTCTGAAAGTTCACATATCTCTATCTCTCCAGGATTGGCTTCTCACACTTTATTTAGTTCATTTGGTGAGGTCATGTTTTCCTGGATGATATTGATGCTTGTGGATGTTTGTTAGTATCTGGGCATTGAAGAGTTGTGTATTTATGGTAGTCTTTATAGTCTGGACTTGTTTGTATCTGTCCTTCTTGGGAAGGCTTTCCAGGTATTCAAAAGGACTTAGGTGTTGTGATCTATGTTTTTCGTAACTGCAGCCATATCTGTTTTAGGGGGCACCCTACACTCAGTAGCACTGTGGTTCTTGTAGACTTGTAGAGGTACCTCTTTGGTGGTCTTGGACAAAATCTGTAAGAATTTTATAGGTTACCAGGCAGAGACTCTCGCTCTCTTCCCTTACTTTTTCCCAAACAGTCTCTCTCTTTCTCTCTGTGCTGAGCTGCCTGGAGCTGGGGGAGAGGACACACAGGTGACTACTCCTGTGATCACCACCACTGGGACTGTACTGGGTCAGACCTGAAACTGGCATAGCGCTGGGTACTGCCCAAAGCTTGCTGTAATCACTCA